TGTGCTGGAAGGGAAGGGCGCTAGCTGGGGAAATATAATTTAAGTTGCATATTTGAAAGGGGTATTTGTGAAAGAAAATCAATGTATCATTCCGATTTTGTGTATAAGAATCAAGTTTTATTTATTGCTGTGCAAGTCTTTAACCTGGCGGAAGTGGTGTAGTGGCAAGTGGCGTGGCACGCTTACCACGCGAGCGGTCCGGGGATCAAATCCTGGGTCGTGAGTCGCCCGGGCCAACCAAGCCTTCCATCCCTCCGGGGTCGGTTAATTGGTACCAGACTTGTCTGGGAGGATAAAAACACTGACTTGTACATCGGCTGGCCCCCGCAAGTCATTGTATAGGCCACATCGCATTCAAACGCCACTACGAATGTACAAATGGAAGTAGAATGCGTGCCGCATCCCAAAAAGGGATTGATCAACGGCAAATGCTTTATCCTTATGATCTCTTCCACTCAAACACATGGGTTTTATTCACCTCCTGGTTGACGACAATATTTCAGAATGAATTTGGCGGAGTTGTGCCATTCACAAATTCATTAACTTGAAGTTCGGTATTACCTGTTAAGAAATGAGCAAACTCACGAGTGAGCTTGAAGGATGATGATTTTCTAATCGATAATTTGCTCTGCAGCCATATTTACGATGAACAGGGAGCCCATTAGGGTCAGTAGTGCAGAGGTGAAGAAAAAGCTATGAAAAACGCCAGAGCCCGAGAAATGGGAACCTTTTCGCCCGTTGATTTCCGCATTGATGCGACTCTCATCGGTGCTGCCCTCTTCAACGCTAACGCTCTCTCTGCTAGAACCGTTAGAGGCAGACAGCGAGAGGGTGGGCATTCAGTTTGCGAGCAGCGCGGGATGGTGCTAGATCGTCAGGAGCATATCCCCCGTTTGGAATGGCGTGTCGGTCCGCACCCTTAGGGGGCCCACTTGCCTGCCAACTAGGTATTTCGCCTTTTTCGATCTTCGACCTTATCGTGGATTTTCCTCCGAGCTGGAATATTATTCCAGTTTTTTTTTTCTAAAAAGGTTCGAAGTCTTTCAAAACGGACTTTGAACTCTCTTATTCTGAAAACATGAGTAAAATATCAAAATGAGGATAAGCAGTGCAAATAGGAAGGAAAATTGTATTTGAGGTTATGGCAATCCAGTTCCGGTCACCAATGTTGGCCGTATTGTGTGCATTATGTTCTCATTGTTCGGGATCCCGTTGACGCTCGTCACCATTGCAGATCTTGGTAAGTTTCTTCATGCTTCTTTTTTGAAAACAAAATATTTCTACTGGATTGGACCAGAGGTGGCTATCTCAGTTGTAAGAAATCCCTCATTCTGAACTATTTTTGTATTTTTAACCACATTTATCTTTCAATCAATATCATAGGATGCCTCTAACGCTTCATTGTGTAAAATACTGTTCTTCAGTTTATTTTTTGGTAAATATAACCTTTTCAAATTCATCCTACTATATATAATCGGCTAAGCGTGTTGTGTGTGTGTGTGTGGTGTGTGTGTGTCTGACCGGAAATTCATAACTTCCCTCCCTTTGGACCCAGAGAGCTCAAACTTCTAGGATATATGGGGGGCTGGACACAAACACTGATGATGGGTGGCGGGAAGTGATAACTACTGATAGGAACTGATAACGGACGCCGAAATGATGATGTCATCAATTTCGTTACGCCGTTTGCGTTGACGGTGGACAGTTTGCACTCATGCATGATATGTGGGGTGAGGCGGGGACCAAGAAGTTGAGTGAACGAATGTGGTAGCAACTGATAAGAACTGATAAGGGGCGTCAAAGTGTGGATACCACCAGTTTCGTTGCGGCCCTCGCAGTTACATTGGAACCTTGGCTCTCACATGTGGTATAGGGGATGGGACGGGAACACGGATAGTGGATGATCAGAAGTGATAACAAGCGATAACGGTTGATAAGGAAGTTAGGATTTTGAGTACTGCTAATTTCGTTGTAGCCTTCGTGGTGACAGTAAATATTAGCTCCTACACGTTGCCTGGAGGTTGGGACCGGGACACCGATTGCGAACAGTATGAACTGATAACAAATGACAAGGAATGATAAGAGCGTTGAATGCAGGTCTCTCCAACTTCGTTGCAATTATCACTGGCAAGCGATCAAGGTGGCGAGGGTTGAATGTAGGTGACAGAAAGTGGTATGAGCGGCAACTGTGGGATGACAGAGGAAAGCGGTGGCAAGGGATAATAGCAATTGATGAAGGCAGGCGCTCATGTCCCGTGGGGGTGGTAGTTGGGAGAACATTCAAAACAGTTCTGATGGCAGGTGACACCAGGACTAAACCCAGGACATGGGAGTAGCGTTAGGGAAGTTTTAATTGCTCATATCTAATTTCAGGTTCCCTCTCTGAGATTACCTAATTAGTGTTGTGCGTGGCCCACTCATTTGAATGTCCCTACTCGCCCTGTTCAACGATTAGCGCCTGAAGGCATACAGGAATTGCCGAAGCACAAGTGCAATCAAATCCGTTGTGCCCAGTGGTAGACCATTTCCACTAAAACCTCCAATGGACAAAACTTCACGACGAGGGTGCTTATGGAAACGTCCTATTACCTCACACGACTGCAAAAATGTTAGAAAGGCATATAAATGATTTGTGCTGGAATCAATCTGAAATCGGTAGAAGGATATGCATATTAAGAAGTGATAAATTGAGAGCAGCGCTTATACAAGCGATGAATGTTGAGGAATCTGACATTATCTTTACCGTTTATCACTCGATTGGAATCATTCCTCATCGGGATAGTTTCATTCATTCGTGCCAAAAAGCTCGAAAGTAATTGATTCATAGGTGAGTATCACTTCTGCTCCTAGGATATGGTCCTTTCAAGAATAAGTTTTGACTAGCTCTTAACAAACAATGATGCTGCCTCCCCATTTACCCTGCGATTCAACTTTTGCTTAGATTTCCACATAATGAGTTACATTTCACCGTAATTCGATATCAAAATTCGAGTCTTCACTCAAAGTCATTCTTATCCGCGCTTCTATGCTGAAAAAGCAAATCTTCAACGCGGTAACTTTCGCTTGCAGGGGACCAAGTAAAACAGTTGGATCAAAGGTCGGCATGGTGCCATGAACATCTCCAGAAAATTTTGGAAAGACATATTTGAAAAAACTCCTTAATTATAGTGTTCCCAAAAGTTTCTTTCTTGAACACATTTTTTGAGTAAGCGCTTGACTAACTTTTTCTTCAAAGAACTTTGCATTGCCAGAGGCAGATGATCGAGTAGTAGATAAAAACAAGTCGACAATTATTGCAGCATTATTACTACCGTAAGCAATGGAAGAACGAAGGACAAGGGGAAGACCCAGAATCTATCTCAATGAAGGAGAACGCCTGCAAATGAGGCGGCAACGAGAGACGCCACAGGAGAGGGCTGCTCGCCTCGAGGTAGATTCCGCAAGACATCGTCAAAGACGAGAAAATGAAGATCCAGGTGAAAGAAACCTAAGACTGTTTGAGAATGCGGAGCGTCTTCGAACCAGACGTCAACTTGAAACCGCCGATGAGCGAGCTTCTCGGTTACAGGAGAACGCTCATAGGCAGCAGCAAAGACGCGGTAGAGAAGATGCTGACCAAAGATCTGCTAGGCTGGAGAGGAATGCTCGACGAGAGCAAGGCAGGCGTGAGTCACAGAGTGTCGCAGAGCGCGCCGCTAGGTTGGAGGGAAATACACAACGGCAGAGAAGAAGACGTGAACTGGAAAGTATCGAACAACGGTCAGCAAGGTTGGAGGCCAATGCGCAGCGGCAGCGAAGAAGACGTCAAGAGGAAAGAAGCCAACGAGTTGTTGAATTGCAAGCAGGACAGGCTAGGCATTTAGAAACCGTCGAACGAAGAGATAGCATGTCGTCATCAAACATCTCGGTTCAACAAAGAAGGCAAGGATTGGAAAGTGCAGGAGAGCGATCCCCTCAACTGATGGAAGATGTTGAGTGGCGCCGCCTGATCGAAGGGAGGCATGAGCAACTACACGTTCCAGGTAACCGTCGGCGACGAAGTGGACCTGCCCAGTTTGTCGGAGCTGCGTTGCGTACACGTGTAACCGAATCGAACTATTTGGGAGAGCTCAATCAAAGGTGTGTGGATTGTGGAGCATTGCATTTTGCTAGCGAGGTCAAATCTAATCATCCAGGAAAGTTTAAAGAGTGTTGCCATCTTGGGAAATTCACCTTGAATTTTTTCGAAAACTTTCCTGAAGAGTTGCGAAGACTTTATGTACGTGCACCTGAGTCCACGGCCGAACAGCGACACAATCAGAAAAATTTCTTAGAGAACATACGAAATTTCAACTCGGCCCTAGCTATGGCATCAATGGGCGCACAGGTTGATTCGCTGCCCGGGCGAGGTCCCTACTGTTACAGAATTCATGGACAAATCTATCATAGACTAGGACCTCTTCATCCTAGAAATGGGGAACCACGCCAATATGGGCAAATCTACATCTTAGATACGGAGTTGGCTGCTCAGCAGCGTCTCGGAAACGCAAGAAACACAAACTGTGATCCACGTCTAATGCGCTTCCTCAGTGATCTATTATCGAATGTGAATATGTATGCAAGATCATTTAAAATGATGAGTGAAGTGGAGCGAGCGGAAATCGCCCTGGCTGCCCAGGAGAATCGTACCCCTTTGAATATTCGCATGGTGTTTGAAGAGAGTGCCGAAAGAGGTTTAGTTCGTCGACAGTATGATCTTCCCACCGCAAACGAGGTTGCAGTAATTTACGTTGGCGAAGACAACGACGTGCCTGCAAACAGAAGTCTTGCAGTTCATCTGCGTAGTGGAACCGGCGAAGAGCTCATGAATATCCGTGACATTGACAAAATCTGTGACCCGCTAACATATCCGCTGCTTTTCCCAACTGGCGCAGGAGGATGGGATCCGAGCTTAGAAATACGGCAGGCTTACGCATCACGCAAAAAGACTACTACGCATACCTATTTTCGATTCGTGATACGTTTAATCCGATTCTACACGCAGGAAAGCTCTGCCAACAATTTGCAGTTGATGCATACGTAAAAATAGAACAAAATCGCCTCAATTATCAGCGAAGAAATCAGCTCACCCTTCGTCGTGATTCCTACACAGGACTACAAGATCATTTGGCTGGAGACGACATTTCTGGGCCACCTGGAAATCGCGTCGTACTGTCATCATCACATTTGGGTAGCCCACGCGCAATGCAGCAAGCCTATCAAGATGCCATGGCGATTGTGGCTCGGTACGGGAAGCCAACGTACTTTTTGACGATAACGTGTAACCCACAGTGGAAGGAAATACAGGAAAATCTCTTTCATGGCCAGTCGCCGTCTGATCGTCCCGACTTGGTAGCACGTGTGTTCAATGCAAAGCTACAGGAACTTTGTAACGATTTGCTCAGACGACATGTTCTAGGAGAAGTGGAAGCATATGTGTACGTGATCGAGTTCCAAAAGCGTGGTTTACCACACTGCCATATGCTTCTCATTATGAAAGATGACTGGAAGAGTGCGGACGGCGGAAGACGTGGATAAATGTATCTGTGCGGAGATTCCTAATAGGGAAGCTGAACCTGAACTTCATACCGCTGTAATTTCATATATGATTCATCGACAGTGTGGGCCTGTGGATCCCAGCTCTCCGTGCATGCAGAGTGGTTCGTGCTCTAAGCGGTTCCCCAAGCCAATTCGCGATAGAACGTCACTTGATGTTGACGGCTACCCTTACTACCGTCGCCGTAATCTTTTCCCCACCGAGATAAGTGGCGTTCCCTATAGCGACGAGTGGGTGGTGCCAACAAATCCCGTATCTTCTTTTGAAATACGAGTGTCATATTAATATCGAAATGTGTGGCACGATTTCTGCTGTCAAGTATCTGTATAAGTATATTTACAAAGGACCCGACCGCGCTCGCATCAGCATCGAAGGCGGAGGAGACACGGATGCAAATAACAATGTCGATGAAATCAGGCAGCACCTCAACACTCGATACGTGTGTGCTCCTCAGAGTATTTACCGAATTTTTGGGTATACAATGCAGGACAAATCTCACACGGTCTGCCGGCTAGCCGTGCATCTGCCCGAATTTCAGACAGTTCACTTCGTCCAAGGTCAGGAACAACAATATTTCGAGCGGGCTCAACAATCTTTTACTACTCTCACAGCGTTTTTTGAATTGAATAGACGGTGTAATGAGATGTATGAAAATGGATTGCTTGCTGATTTTCCAATCGATGCTCGAAATATCTATTACTATCAATTCCCAGAATATTTCACATTCGATGTTCGTAGGGGGTGGACCCCGAGAAGGCGAGAAGGGAAGCAGAACATTGGGAGAATGTTTACAGTATCGCCTCTCGATACGGAACGTTACTGTTTGCGAGTACTCCTTCTAAACACCAAAGGAAAAACGTCTTTCGAAGATATGCGAACAGTCGACGGTACAATCTACGAGTCGTTTGCAGAAGCAGCGAAGGTTGCCGGGTTCTTGGACGATGACAGGTATTTTCGACAAAGCCTACAGGAAGCAGCTCACTACCAGTCCGCACCAGCAATGAGAAGTTTTTTCGCCTGCCTCCTGTGCTTTTGCGAAGTAATGCAGGCACAAGAGCTATGGGAGGAGTTCGTTGATACGATGCTGGACGACTACACCAACCAAGGAGTCGATCGAGATCGTGCTATCGCTATGGCTTACTTCGATGTCTTAGATCGAGTAGCTTTGATGGGTAGGGACTTACGGCAAATTGTGACTCCCCCCACTACAGAACGCCCAGTTGTACCAACGGTGCAGATGGATCATGCAAATTATGAGAGGATCGGGTTGCGTCAGTACGAAACCCTCAACGTCAAACAAAAGGAAGCAGCGGATGAAATCCTTGATGCGCTCGACAGATCTCAGAATAAATGCATTTTCGTTGACGGTCCAGGCGGAAGCGGCAAGACATACTTATACAGCACGGTGTATAACATAGCTGTTGGGAGGAGACGTCGGGTACAGTGCGTAGCCTGGACCGGTATAGCTGCTAACTTGCTTCCGGGAGGACGAACTGTAAATTCTGTCTTCAAGTTGAATATTGCCGATGGAAATCGAACTTCTTCAATGAGACGACAGCAAAAAGAAGCTAAGCACCTTATGGAGACCGACATCATCATTTGGGATGAAATTCAATGGCACCTCGAACTGCTCTCGAAGCAGTCGACGTTCTCCTTAGAGATCCTTATGCAGGTGGACACCCCTTTTGGCGGTAAAGTGTTTGTTATTGGCGGTGATTTTCGACAGATCCTGCCAGTAGTTGAACACGGTCAACGGGAAGATATTGTTGAGGCATGTGTTTTGAAGTCTTTCCTCTGGCCAATTTTTCGAATTCATCGACTGGAGATAAACATGAGAGCACGTGCTGCAGGCAGCGACTGGCGTGAACGACTTCTTGAAATTGGTGGCGGAGAGTCTAACGACGAAGAAGGTCGCACAACGATTCCAGAAGAAATGATGTGCACGACAGACATTGTTAGTGAAGTTTTCGGTGAGATTCTCGATCCATCGACTACTTCAGAGCTCTGCGAAAACGCCATATTGGCGCCCAAAAACGTGCACGTCCAGCGCTTGAACGACGATGCTCTTCTACGTCTGAGCGTAGACAGAGCCCAAGATGAGCGTATTTATAAGAGCATCGACGAAGCGGTCTATCCAGAAGGAGAGTCTCGACAGCTGTTCCAGATGGAGTACTTGAATTCCCTTACTCCCACAGGCTTGCCACCTCATGAGTTGCACCTTAAAAAGGGTGCAATAGTGATGCTGCTCAGGAATCTGGATGTGGCAAATGGACTATGTAATGGGACGCGCCTCAAAGTGGAAACACTCGGACGTCGAACTTTAGCATGCAAGTTCATCTGTGGAGAGCGAATAGATCAACTGGCTATCATTCCAAGAATAGACAACTACTGGGATCAAAGAATACCTTTCCGGCTTCGTCGTCGCCAGTTTCCTGTGCGCATAGCCTTTGCTATGACGATCAATAAAGCCCAAGGACAATCATTTAACAAAGTTGGTGTATTCCTCCCAGAAGACGTCTTCTCCCACGGACAGCTCTATGTGGCGCTCTCCCGCGCAAGAACTCCTGATGGCATAAGAGTGAAATCTCCCTCGAATAGGTTGAAGAATATAGTGTTTGACGAAGTTCTGTTTTGAAGCTTCATGAGCTTCGTTTTTCAAATATTTGCTCGATAATTTGTATGCTGCTATAATCCCGAGATTCTTTGCAGCTGTTTCCCCAGTACTCTGTCAGAAAGCTACTGTTCGAATTCTACTACATTTAAATCAAGGAGGGAGGACAAGAAAGTTATCTGTAACAGATTGCTGCAATTTCTTGAGAAGTCCCCGATCAGAGCACCGTTTTATGCATATTTATATTCATTTTGTGCATATAGTGATAAAAATTGAGTAAGTACGCGTATACTTCTGCAATGCTCGAGGAAGTTTCCAGTGCTATGCATATGGAATGCCAAACAAATACTGAGTGTGAGGTGCTCTGAAGAGTGGTCGAAGTGTAGATGAAGAGAGAATGAGACGTGCATTGTGATGATGATTGGCCGGATGTCGTAATGAGTGATAAGAACATCGATGAAAGTAAGATCCATCCAACTTAAAGCAGTTGAACTAAAGTAGATCTTTGAATCGTAAACAGGTTTCAATTCTATCTTTTATCAAGTGAAAGAGAATTTAACAAACCGCTGTACTAAATGCTCTTCAGAATAACCAGTTTGGCTCCGCACGCTACCGTGCGCATCACATAGTTGGCCTTAGTGCAACTGGATAACCTGTGGAATACGAAGTGAGTTATTTCACGATCTTCCTGTTGCTGTCGTGCGACCTGCTGCTCCTTCCACAGGTTGTTCAGTCGCACTGAGGCCTAATATGATGCGCGCGGTAGCGTGCGGAGCCAAACTGGTAAATAAAAAAAGGAATAAATAAAGAAATAAATAGCCAACGGAAACTCAACGCGGAAATGTTGAAACTCATTTGCGAACGAATGCTTGGTGGCTGTAGACCAAGCAAAAATCTCATCATTCCACCAAACAGGAACTTCGGGACGCCCCTGGAAAATTTCAATTTTCCACTCCAGAATCCGTAAATGAGGACGAAACGCAAGTCTCTTTGCCAAATGTTGTACCTTTGCCCTAGCTAATAGCAAACAAACTGCGAGCTTCATACATTCGAAAGAACAAGTCATCTTGAAGAAGCATTTTCACGCTTCTCTTCTGTAAAACACCCACTGTGAAAGATGTTTAGGAAACATGGCCATCATAAGCACTACAGTGTATTACGGCTTACTTTAGTACATATAACACCGCTTAAAATTCAGTATCTGCGCAAAGGATGATGATGATGTTGTCGTTTGCCCATATAGCAATCAAATAGGAATGATGAAACTTCATGAAAACCTCAAGAGATCTAACGCTTTCAGCCAAAAGCGGAATCCTTTTCTTGCCCTATTGCCAATAGTCAGTGTGTACTACTGGTTTTTACTGCTTATAGGCCGTTACTCTTCGCCACAGTGTCTAACTGTGCTAACGTCAACCACGCTTGGCGCACCCGTAGACAGCCTTCGTAAGCGCCCACGAGCCAGCTCCTGGGGTTCGTGTTTAGATCAAAGAGGTGCCTATAGCACCCGCCCCTGTTGTGCTGCGGCCTCGGCAGTTGGTTATTTTCAGGGCTCGGTGGCTCGTGGTTCTAATGTACACGCTCGAAAGCCTTACTTATGCGGCCTATGTGCGCCACCATGTGGCGCACGCGGTACGCAATGTGTTAAAAAACCATGTATAACGCACTGTTCTCCGATCAGCTCGCTTACACGTTCTGTTGGGGTCTTATGAAGTTTTCATCTCAGCGATTTTTTCTTTTCCCTAGACTATTTGAAGTGAAGTCAATCGGTTGTGAAATAAGTGACTACAGATACCTGTATGTGATTGACCAATAAATAAATCTGTAAAGGAATTAAATTTCAAAATTATTGCCCGGCATCGGGCGGCATTGTTGCCAATGTATTAGAGTTCGAATGGTTCGGTTTCAGTACTTCTTGTAGCTTCTATCAGTGAAAAAGGAGCATAAAACGCGCTATTACCTGCTTGATCAGCTGTAGCTAGGTTCGAACGGGGTGCCTTAGGATGCAGTGTGCACATTTAATCGGTCGGGCCTTTCATACCTTCTTGTCTTGCTAAATCGCATCAGTCGCCCACGCTTATTGGCTGCACTGACTGCTGACTTAAAGAGGTACTTCTTGTAGCTTCTATTAGTAAGAAGGAACATAAAATATATTCTGCAAGTTGTCCAGTCCCACTGAGCACATGTGATGCGTGCAGTCGCGTGCGGAGCTAAACTGGTCACATATAATCGGCTAAGCCTAATTCTTTACTATGTTTATGGGAAGGAATATTTCTAATTTCTGCCATTAGTCTGAAACACTAGAGCAGGGCGGGACTCAACAGAACTAAAAGGGTTGGAGTGGAGGGAGTTAGGAATTTTAGGCAAGACATTTCTTTGAGGTCTGGGTACAATCAAGCCTACGGCGCACGTTAAGCGAACGATTTCACATTGTTCGTGGATGTGGATTAAACTGTGATCATAAAACTCACAACACATTCACACTTGTCATTTAAATGACTTCTGACTAGCTTCAACTGGATTAATGTTCGAAACTTTATGGAATATCGTCAACACTCGCAAATCGATTCTTGCACTGGACAAAGAGTCTCTGTGGTACAGTTTTATTGTGTACGAGGATACAGCACGCAACACCGCACCGATGTCTGCCAAAGAGGCGATAGAAGAGCTCAAGAATATTCGATCATCGAAACAACAACGTAAAGCTTCTCAGACATCGTGAGTTTTCAGAATTACAAGTTCGAAGCAAAACAACAGAAAAGTGCTCATCGCCTAGTTCAGACGATTACTTTGAGGCGGTAAGGGAACGTCAAGCGTTCCACCAGCCAGAGTTAGCCATGAACGCAGGGGAAGTAGTATTATCTCCTCCTCAATAGCATCCCTCCTAGTAGGGTTCCCTAAAACTCCAAATGTCTTTCAAATGGTTTGAGGCTGAAGCGCAGAGAATACGATTTTGATTGAGCAGTCAATGTCGGAGTCTTCCTGGTAGAGAATTCTGGAACTCCGCATATCACTCACGTCAACTGCACTTGCTCGTTGCTTCTATTTGAGCACGACCGCCATGTCAGCCCTGCAGATAGTGGAGCAAGGAATTGACCGGCGAGTTTGATAACTTATAACTCGCATTTCCAAAGAACAGCTAAAGCTTTTAGGGTTGCACAATTCCATGCTAACTTCTTCACATACCTCTCTAGATAGTAGATCGCCATTACAGACGATTTCTCTTCCCCTACGAGAATTCCACTATCTACGGCCCAACTTGTTAGAAGCCCTTTATTTGTTTTATGTGCCGTACAAAAAGTTGCGTTTCGATCCTGAAGTTCAAATGCTCACTGCTCAGACGAAACATCTTCGATTGAAGTAAAAGATATAGCCATCTACAAACTTTTGCCAATAAGGAACAGATTATGTAGTGAGATTGTCTAGCATGCTCAATAGAGTTTTGGAGGCAGTTGACTCAGGAAAAGTAAAGAGTTTTAGCATTGTGTTGAGCTTCATGTTGAGTTTCAGAGCATTTCTATCCGAGGAAACACCCCGATGGTTAAAAAAGTAATACTTAGGCAAGAGGTCTAGAGTCGGCGCACGATGACTGCAGCAAAATTCAGCAGTGTTCACTTGTGCGGGATTAAGTGCAAGCCTGTGCAACTAAACTATAAGAAGAGAGGAACGCACCCAATTTTTGACTTCTTTTGGCTTTCTCACCCTTACTTTTGTATTCAGCAAACCCATCTCTACTACGCTTGGTCCACATCTTAAAACAGTTACATGCGGATTTGGTTTGAATAAAACCCTTGGTCATTCGAGGTTCGTGCCATCGCTGCAAATACATTTCGAGACGTTGACAACAGCTCACGTTTTTAGATTTTTCGCCGCGTGGGACGGAATCGATGTGGGTACGGTAGTAAAGTGCCATAGACTGGGAGTTAAAGGTGGTGAACTACGGCCGTAAGCGGTGAATAATGAAAGGCGAGACAGCCAGATGACCCCGCTCTGAATGGCGAGCTTCACTACATTCCTAGCAAAAGTCGCGTCGCCATGGACTTGAACCATGTAATGCAGCGCCCATGAGCGCGACGTTTGCCACTGCACCACAAAGCATTGCTGTGTTACTTCGAAAGAATTGTAGAAAGCAAGGTAGGATCCTATGAGGGTTGCAAAACATCCAGTATCATGGAGAACTGATCCCGCGAGCGATCCAATGTCAACAAGGAACGAACCGTTGCGCCGATAGACGTGTCTGCAACCTAGGATCTTGGCCTAGATGATTGTACAGTAGTAGAAGGCGCTCCGCGGAAACAAGAAGGAGACGGTATATACGATCATAGCTGTTAACATTGCGGGGAATGGTGATCACCTTATTGGCCAGAAAGTTATCAATATTATCGATAGCTCCAGTGGCTTTCTTGCTGCCTCCACTCAACACCTTCCACGTACCCCTTTCTTCCCTGCGCTCTGCGCATGGCAGGGACGGAGAGACGCTCAATGCGACCAATGCATGACGTGCAGAGAAAGGGGGAAGTGCATGGGGATTGAAGAGACGCAGATAGGCGGCGACTAAAATGTACTCAGGGGGTACATATTAGTCGCCCTCTACATGACCCTCTGCGTCTCTGCAATCTCCACGCACTTTCCCTTTCTCTGCCGGGTTCGCCGCCTAGGCTAGGTGCCACCTAATACGTTCGCCACTTAACATGTGGTGTTTTTTTTTTTCGAACTCGCTCTGACATGGACCGCGGTCAGCGTGAGAATTTCTGGACTTTCAACCATACAGCCACGCCCCGTTTTTATGACAGATAGACGATGTGATGATCGTGAAGGGGAGGCATGGGTCAAAGTGAATACCTTATTGCCAGCATATTAGACTGGCTATTTAGAGAGACTTTAACTAACCGGGCCATCGCAGGTGCCACGGCCTCACCTCCGTATACCATAGATTCTGAGCTGCAACTACGCAATCTTGGATGCGATGAGACATATCCAACATTATTAAATGTAATTAACTGATCGGGAGCGTAGTGGTGTATCAA